TCAGCCCGGCGGGGCGGGCGGGGTGGTGCGGATAAATAGGGGCTGCGGGCCCGGGAGGACACGGGTGGCTCGGACGATTGGCTTCGGCTCCTTGCGCTCGGCCGCTGCAGGCCCAGGATCTCGGCGCAGCGCTCGGTGAGTACGGGCGGGGCCCAGAGCCACCGCAGCGGAAGTGACCTTGGCGGAGAATGGGGCACCGCCGGGGCGCAGGCAGCAGGACCAGGCCCCTGGTGGCCCCGGCTGGGCGCAGGCGCGTGCTGGAGCTACAGGGAGAAGGGGTCGCGGCCCGCGGGAAGCGGGGACGCTCAGGGATTGGCTTCGCCCAGCAGGCAGGGATGGCGGCTGGGCCGGACGCTCCCAGGACCGGTCGGCTCTGAGCCAGGGCGGGTCCGCGGCGGCCCAGGCGGTACTGGGGACGGCAGGGAGGAGCCTTCAGGGAAAGGGTTTGGCCCGGCCGGGTCCTGGCCACTGCAGCTGCAGTCTCTGTTCCCAGCCCCTCAGCTCTGGGGCCCAGGGCGCTCGGGACAGATTACTGGGATGATATACCGATTTGCATCTATTTTAGGTTTCTTATTCGAAAGAGTATGTCTGGGCAACTTTCTCCATAAAACCCTACACAATTCCTGGAACCCCAGAAGACCGGTCCTATTGAAAACAGGAATGTAGGAGTGGGTGGATGGGGTGGAACCGCATGAAGAGTTAAATCGATAAACAGGAAGAGAAGCTGCGCAGAGTGAAGGATAGGAGACCGTGTAGGGATTGGGGGATCCAGCCCCCTCTGTGGAGATCTCCTGTGGAGGGGGGCGCCTTAGGCCACGGTGGTGTGCGAGGAAGAAGCAGGGCAGCCTCAGCTCCTCCCTCATTTAGACGTCTGTGCATTAGCATCCAGGGACAGTGTGAGACCTCCTCAGGCACATTAGGGGGAAGTGAACTGAATTTGGCCCCTCAGGCGACTGGATCAGCCCCTTCCCCAGGCACTTGAGAAAGCCACACAGGGAAAAGGACTAAAGCCCAGAACCTCCACCCCCACGACTCCACCTGACCGGATCCGCATACTCATACGAAGAGAGTTTGTGGAGCTCAGAGGGAGACTGGTCCCCAGGAGCTTCGGTGGGAGGAGAATGTGACCAAGGTGCATTTATCTTGAATCTACGGATTCCAGAAGGCAGGAGGTGAAGAGGCATGGCAGGTTGTGGATTGGTTGAGGCTCTCCGCTTTTCTTCCCTGACAGCCTGTCAATGGAAAATGGCTTCTCATTGGCCTTGGTGATGGCGACCTAGAACACGGGAACTTTTTGGAGAAGGTCGTGGTGCCCGAGTGTTGAAGGCATCCTGGAGGAAAGTGGCCCTGCTCCTCATTGAGCTGATCCAGAACTGAGGGTCCAGCTCCTGGGAAAGTGCAGAGGCCTCCTCTGAGTGATTCACAGGCTCAGGTGGCAGCACAGTCCAGACCCAGCCCTGGGTCTAGTGGCTCCCCTTGATCTTGGCTTAAGACAACCCCCTTTCCAAAGGGGTCAGGCAGTAGGGGGTGGAGGCCCTGGGCTCCATGTTGAAACTGCCCCTGCGATGCTGATTCAGCCGTCTGGGCTGAGGCCCATATGTGATGTGGGCGGAAACAGGGAGGAGCCATAGGTCTGCTGATGTTTGATGGTCTGACACAAGGAAAGTATTAGAAATGTGTGAGGTTGAACAATGTGAAATAGAAGTTTTGAAGGTCAAAAGGCACTTTCATGTGATTGGTGTGAAGGGAGATGGGAGTCTGACAGGAAGTTGAACCTAGGCAAGGTGTATAAGGGGTTCTTTCACATTGTTCTTGCTGTAGTTAGTGGTCTCTTCACCTGGTCCATCATCTCTCAGTGCACAGTCTGGGAGCTGGCTGAGAAAGGGTGCCTAGGAGACACATCTGGAGTCCTTACATGGCTATTGTAGCTGTTGGTTATTTTCTACCCTTGTACAAGTATGGTGGAAGATGTAAGGATCAAACCCCACTACACTTTTAAACTTTTGGGGAGCAGTGCTGGGGATAACCCTGGGTTTTGTGCATACTAAGCATGTACTCTGCCATTAACTAGCCCAACTTTAACCAACTTTCTCATTTTTAACTTCAGGCCATAACTCCCCCTTTTGAGGACCTGCGGCCCCCCCAGGCTCATGCTTGTGGGGGTCCTGGTGAATGGCTCTCTCCAAAGAGCAGGTTTCCTGGTCTCGCCCTCCTCTCTGCTAACCTCCTCCTGCACCTGCCTCCTATCTTTCAGGAAGACACTTACCTCCTTCTGTTCCTTTCCTTATAATTTTCCTGTGCTTTAGTTGCACTTGTGATAGTATCGATCCATAATTTAAGTGCATATAACTTCCATTATACTGTATATCTCCTTTTTGACCCACATTAATGAGATTTATGTTGATACAAATCTAGTTCATTCATCATAAATGAACCTGACTTAGGCTATTTCTACTTCTAATTTCCCTCCTTCTTTTCCACAGTTGCTCACAGCGCTACAGTATCTCCCAGCCACTTGCAAGAGTTTCTCTTGGCAAAAATAGAAGTAGAATCAATTGCTGAGTCAGAGGCTTGCACATGGATTGCACATCTTGTATTTTGCTAGACACTGACCAAGTACCCTCCACTGTGGTTGTATCACTTTCTACTCCTGGCAGTGAGAGAGCTCCCTTCCAAATATACGCCAGCCCTAGATCTTACCAGATTCTAATTTTCACCAATCTGATGAGTTTGAAATGGTACCCATTTTAATTTTCATGGCTAGAAATTCAAGTTTAATAATCCTTTGCGCAAGTTAAGCAGTGGTTAGTGAATGTTTATCTGAACCTCCCCGCAAGTAGATTGGATTTTCTGTTTCTTGTTTCATTGTAGCCCAGGTTGGCCTCTCATTCACTCACAATCCTCCTGGCTCGGTCTCCTGAATGCTGGGATTGTATACAGGTGTATGCCACCAAGTCTGGTGTTAGATCATATTTTTAAAATTTTAAACTTGAGATGTGTGGGGTTCAGAGACAGGCGGCCTTACCCTTTCATTTACAGATGAGAAAGCCAAGTTCACCTGCAAGTTTGCAACACAGTTAGAGTCAGTTACATAATTGTGATGGAATTTCACTTAGCATTTGATCTTAAAGTTATGGATCCCTCCCTACTCAGGTATACCCATTCAAAGCATGCCCGTGATGTCTTGTCTCAAACCTCAGCTGCTCTCATCTGTAAAACAGAAGCTTTATACAAGACTGGAAGTCCTTTTCCAGCACTGGTGTTTTATGAATGCTGCATGCTGGGAGGGATGTGTGGTCTGTGATCTTGACTGTTATCTGTAATTAGCAGGCCCACAACTCCTTCAGTCTGGTCGAGATTATCTGGTATTACCAAAGAGCATGGGTTGAAGAGGATGGGATTGATAACTACTAGACGACATTTAGATAATCTTCAATAAGACACGCAGCCATGTCAGGCTGCTGTGACCCTCTGACCTGCTCGTCTGGACTAGTCAGGATGTGTTCACACACACAGGAGTCACATGGCTTCCTGGCTTGCGCAAGTCTGGAGGGTGCCACCAGCCAAGGCTTCTGCTAGTTGAGGGTCTGTCAAGCCACATTAGAATGCTAGGAGCCCTCCACCACCCCTTCTCAATTTACATGGGGTGTACTTTGTTTGGACAATCAAATCAAACTCATCAATATTTAAGGCCTTGTCACTAATAGCATGATGGGCTTTTTTTTTTTTTTTAAAACTAAATGGGATACTTTTGAAAGTAAAAATAATTACTCTGGACAGTGTGTGCTAACTGCCCTTTGCATAGGGGGATGTATGGGCAACCACCAGTGACCAGGGGATCTCCCTAATTGGGGCTCCCTGGTGCATCTCCTCCATCAGCTTTGTGAGGGAGCATCTGTTCCTGGGGCCCCAGGGAAGAAGAACAAGATCACCACTCTTAGACCAGGGCCAAAGCCTCCCCAGCCAGAGCCAGCCAGGAAGTGTGGTACAGCCTTCAATTGCTTCAGGGAGCGGCTGTGTTCTTGCAAGCTGAGAAGCATGGAACACTAATCTCATTTAAATCTCACAGGATCCGTAAAAGCTTTGTAATGTGCCCATTTTAGAAACAGGCGTGGGGACTGCATCACCCTCTGCATCTCATAAGCATCTCAGAAGTCACTATCAGAGCCTGAGAGCAAAAGCTTCTAGGGCTTTCCAGAGCACGGACTACCCAAATTGTTTTGTTTTCCACCAACAATAAAAATGTTTTCAACTGCCGAAAACCTTTGTGGTGTCCACTGTTTTAAGCCCACAGTGGTCATTTTCTTCTGCGTTGCTGTGGCTGACCTTAAACAATGTTCTATATAAGCATTATAACCAGATGTTCTCCAGGGCATGAGAGAAGGCTTGAGTAGGGCCAGCCCCGCTGCACCTGGAGTGGATGAGAGGCTGTCTTGGATAGTTGATGGCAGATGGGCCACAGGGGAAGTGCCTGTGAATGGCCTAAAGGTTCAGTTGGGTGACATGGAGTCGGCCTTCTTTTTATTCATTTATTTATTTATTTGTTTGTTTATTTTGTGGTACTGGGGTTTGAACTTAGGGCCTATACCTTGAGCCACTTCACCAGCCCTTTTTTTGTGATGTTTTTTTTTTGAGGTAGGTTCTCTTGAACTATTTGTCCAAGCTGGCTTCTAACCACCATCCTCCTGATCTCTTATCTCCTGAGTAGCTAGGATTATAGGTGTGAGCCACCAGCTCCCAGCTGGAGTCTGCCTTCTCATTCACCTCTCTGGGTTCCCTTGGAATGTCCGGGGCTGGTCAGTAGCATAGGTGGCTATCTGCTGCCTTTGTGGGATGCATTTGTGGGTCATGCAGAAATTGGCCACAGACAGCCCAGCTTCAGGTGACTAATAGGTCACTGCTGTTCACAAGAAGAAAGATGAGGTTCAGGGTTGGGAGCCTTACTTGTTTGTATGCTTCTTCTTTTTTTCTTTTTGTTCTTCTTCTTTCTCACCACCACCCACACTGTGCCTCCTGCTAGGAAGTGAACCCCAGGCAACTGTGATGACTGAGCTACACTTCCAGCCTCCTCTTTCAGGTGTGCAAGGGTGGAAAGCGTGTGGGCAGCTCCACGCTGGTTTTGCTCTTAAATTAAACTTGATCAACCAAGAACCTGTTAAACACTTTTCCATTAGGAGCAGACATAAAACAGAAATGATCACATCAAGGCTGTGATTCTGACTTACAAAGGGAGGCCTCTGGTGTCTCCTTCAGGTTGGTCCAGCACGCTTTTGCCCCACCACAGGCTGCTCCAGCACTGAGGTACACCTGGCCAAGTGGAGTCCAGGAGGCTGAAGGTCTGCGTGGGCTCGTTTTGTGGGTGTGCTGAAGTGGTTGGAACTTGAGGAACAGCTGCCTTTAATGATGGGGAGAACCAAGCTGGGTTTTTATGGAACAGAAAGAAACTCATAAAGTTCTGTGTCAAGTCATCCCCATTCTCCTGCTTTCCCACCAAGCCCTGGTCTAGAGTCACTCTGTCCGAAAAGCGCAGTTCTAGTTTGTGGGTCTGCTAAATGTAGGCACTCCCTCGATCCTTTCCAGCTTGGTGGGGAAGAAGCCAGCAGGGTGCTGACATTGACAGTAGCACTGGCAGGGAGAGTAGAATACTGGACAGGACTGTACGGGACTTTGGTTCACTTTTCCTGTGTCAGCCAGGAGATGACCTCCTGTTTAGACACCAAACTGGTCTGTTTGGAAATTTCAGAATTTCAGGTGTAGATGTCCTATCTCCTTACATCCTTTACAGATTTAGAATCTATTCTGCCTGAAGTCTCTGTTGTGTGTAAGAAAGCTTTTTTTCTTTTTGGCCAGTACTGGGGTTTTAACTCAGGGTCTCACGCTTGCTAGGCAGGAGCTGTATCTACCACTTGAGCCACTCTGCCACACCTCTTATGTTATTTTTCAGGTAGGGGCTCACGTTTTTGATCAGGGCAGCCTCAGACTGTAAGCCTGTTACCTACGCTTCCCACAGAGCTGGCATTACAGGTATGAACCACCACACCCCGAGTTTTTGTTGAAATGGGAACTCTGCTAACTTTTTTGCCTGGGCTGGTTCTTGAACCTCAGTCCTCTGGATCTCTGCCTTCTGGGTAGCTGGGATTGCAGGCATGATCTACCTCGCATGGCCAGAAAGCTTTCTGTACCAAGCTTGATTGCAGCCAAACCTATTTATTTTGGTTTTTGGAGGCAGGGTTTCACTATATAACTCAGGTTGGCCTCAAACTCACAATCCTTCTACCTCAACCTCTTGAATATTGGAATTATAGGTGTGTGCCACTACACCTGACCCAAAACCTGTTCTTTTAGTATGTCAGGACATAAGGTCTCCCATGACTTGGCATCAGCTCCTCTCCTTGGACATTCATTCCATCCGCCAGTGTCCCAAGGGCCACATTTTCCCACAGGAGGGCATCAGGGGAGTCTGGGAAACAGTTTTGCTGTGGTTGGTCGAATCACCAGGCTACAGGCCCTTCCTTTGCATATGACAACATTCTGTAGAACATCAGTGGAATGTTTAAACCCCTGAACCATGCATGGGTTTGGAAAGAGAAGAAATAATGAGAGCCTTTTTTTGTATCCAGAGATCAGCTTGAAAAGGGTCAGGGTGTGTAGTGGAACCCGGGTCTTCCAGGAAGCCCGGCTGACTTGGATTAGAAGTAACCTCTGCTCACCCCTGCCTGCCTCCACTCGGCCACACCTGAAAGAGGAGTCTGGTAGCTGGCAATGTTTTTCTCCTCTGTTCAGATCTCTTTCCATCACGAGATAAGGACTTTCTGTTCATCTTCCGTAACTTAAAAAAAAAAAAAAATCACAGAACAGGGAAATGGAAATGTTTGCTTAAAGTAGAGGAAGTGAAAGCCAGGCTGCCATTTCAGGCAAGACCTTGGAGCTGGTGATGGGCTGTGGACAGCACAGCTTGCTGTTTTCACCATTTGCAGTATCCAGTGTCATGAGAATGAAATTGGTACTGCCTAGGAATTTCTGGCTTCATATTCTTTGGGCTCTCAGCAATCGCAGGACTCTCACAGTAGAAGCCCTTTTGGACAAGAGATGTGGAGGCCCACTGAGCGGTTAGAGGCTGTGGCAGGCTGGCATGCATGCAGAAACTGGAGCCAGCTGGGAGCCAAACTGCCTGTGTTCTCTGCCACCACAGAAACCAAAGAAACCCTATTTAAAAATTCATGTTACCATGGAAACAGTCCTATCATGCTCTTAGCTTATGACTTAATATCTCAACAGATGCCAAGCCCCCCCAGAGGGCATCTGGGGACACTCCTGTTCTCCACACTCAAGATGGTGGGAGCCCAGGGAGGCCACCCTTCAGCACTGGATCTCAGTGGACCTGTCAGCCCTTAGTCCACATTTCGCCTACAGGGAGTAGACACTGTTTCTGCCCCAATGTCTCCTGTCTTAGGAAAAGGTTAAAATGCCAATTGTAGGTCAGAGGGTCTTGATAAAAGCACAGAAGGAATCTGGCTTTGGCATGTCTGCTTAGGAGATGCATTTATCTAACAGTTTGGAGACCTTGGAGGTTGCTGACACATGGTCATGTGAGAAGCCACCTCCCTGTGAGTCACTGAAAATGGGGACATTAAGTGTGTCCAGTGGAACATCTCTAGGGAGGAAGCCTCATTGGTGGCAGGGAGATGACTGGAAGTACATTTGGAGATTATAATTTTTTAAATTGTCTTTTTATCAATTTGGTGAGTCAAGATCTTTGGTAGCATTGCTGTGATTCTTCCTGAAACAAATCTTTGAAATGTAGGACCAACTTTTTTTTTTTTTAAAAGGGTATTTGTATTAGTTCATCTTCCATTACTATAAGAAAATACCTGAGCTGACTGCTCTAAAAAAGTTTTAACTTAGCTCACAGTTGTGAAGGCTAAAAGTCCAAGATCAGGCAGACCCATGGATCTGGTCTCTGGTGAAACCTCCATGGCTGGGCCACATCACAACAGATGACATTGCGACAGGAGTGCATGTGCTTAGGAGAGATTACATGGCCAGAGAGAGACAGAGGAGGGGCCACTAAGTCCAGCTTCTTGAAGGTCCCACCTCTAACATTTCCACCCTGAGAACCAGGCTTCCATCCTAACGTGACCCTTTGTGGGACATGCTCAAACGAGCTGTATTGAAAAAGGTTTCCCTGGTATAGTTGCTGCTTTTGGATTTTTTTTAATATTTTCCTTGTCATGTTGCATGGTGGCAACCCCATTGCATCTACACATACCCTGCTTGCTAGGCTCTCCTTACATACATGGGCATCTTCAATGTTCTTTCTTTTTTTTTTTTTGGCAGTACTGGGGCTTGAACTCAGATCCTTACAGTTGCTAGACTTTCCTAGGCAGGCACTCTTTCACTTGAGCCACTCCATCAGCCCTTTTATGTGATGGATTTTTTTCGAGGTAGGGTCCTGTGTACTATTTGCCTCAGGCTGGCTTTGAACCGCAATCCTCCTATCTCTGCCTACTGAGTAGCTGGGATTACAGGCGTGAGCCACCAGCACCTAGCTCCAATATGTTTTCTGTTCAGCTGCTATTTGCCATGATTTAACAGTTACTATGCTGTCAGATGCTTCATTTCTGTCCTCTGCTAATACAAAGAATATTCAGTGAACATCTGTGGACCTGTGTCTTTGCAGCTTTATACTTTAGGCTAGTATATCTGTAGGATAAATTTCTAAATGATAAGGTACAGAGTCCATGTGTTCAGGGTTAAAAGTTGTCAAGGCATCGCCTAGCCAGCCTGGCCATTGCTATCCTCCTCACTACCAGTTCTCTATCAACACTGCTCTGTCCCCACATTCTGGCACCTTGAGAAGTACCAGACTGTCCAGCCTTTGGCAATCCAGGACACAATAAAGACTTGCCTTGGTTTTATCTGCATCTCTCTGAGGTTAGATATTTTTATATTTTTGTGGGCCATTTGTAGTTTTGTTTTTTGGGGTTTTTTTTTGTTTGTTTTTGTTTTTTTGTGGTACTGGAGTTTGAAGCCATTCCATCAGCCCTTTTTTGTGAAGGGTTTTCTCGAGATTGGGCCTTGCAAACTATTTGCCTGAGCTAGCTTTGAACTGTGATCTTCCTGATCTCTGCCTCCCAAGTAGTTGGGATTACAAGCATGAGCCATCGGTGCCTTGCTTATTTGTAGTTTTTCTGTAGTTTTCCCATTATGCTGTTTGCCTGATTTTTTTGATTGGTTAGTTGTTTGGCTGTGTTGTTTGTGTGCAAGGATTTAAACTCAGGGCCTCACAGTCTACCAGTTGAGCCATGCAACCATTCCTTTGGTTTTACTTAGTTTTTTAAGTAGTGTCTCTTGTTTTTGCCCAGCCCTGCCTCAAACCTCGATCCTCCTACCTCCACCTCCCAAGAAGCTAGGACCATGTATGTGCATCACCACGCCTGGCTCTTCTAATAGTTTTGGGTTTTTTTTTTTTTTAATGGGCTGTTTTTTTTTTTTTAAAGTGTGTTTATAGTAGTGGAGATGGAACCCAGAGCTGTGTGTATTGCACTCATGCTTTGCCATTAAGCTACATCTCCAGCCCAGCTTTCTGAATGTTTAAGAACATTAAACATTCTTGTAGATCGAGAGCACACAGCCCTAGTATTCTATTTCTGTTCATTTTTTGTTGATTTTTTTTTAAGGAGAGACTTTAATGTCTTACAGGCTGTGCTTTATGTCAGTCTCAGGCTTTCCTCAGATGTTTTTCTTCATAAGACTTGTTTATCTATTTATTTTTAGTAGTCCTGGGGTTTGAACTCAGGGCATCACACCTGCGAGGCCAGAGCTCTGTGCCTTGAGCCACTCCCCCAACCTCCTGGGTTTTGGTTTTTTTGAAACAGGGTCTTGCTATATAGCCCAGACTGACCTCAAACTCATGATCCTCCTGCCTCAGCCCACTTGGTACTGGGATTACAGGTGCACACCACTATACGTAGCTCAGACTTGGGTATTTTTATTTGAGTTCTTTGTTCCACAAAGACTTTTTGTGAGTGAGGAGCCAGGTGTGTAGGTGCAGCCTTCCTTGTTGTTATGGGATGGGCAACCAGGTGTGTAAGAACATATGTGGGAGTGCTAGTTCTCGTCCTGGCCCCCACACATCTGTTCCCACACCAGGAAGCAGCTCTGAGTGACCTGACAATGGTTTTGTTGATGGTACTGTCCTAGAACCTGCCATTTTATAATATATTATGACATCCCAGTGGACCTCCCTCAGCTTTTCCAGAGTATTCTTTCTGTCCTTACACATTTGGTCTTCCAGGTGAACCATCCCTTAACCTTTTTTCCCCTTTTCATACTATTAATCATTCACCCATTTACTGGTCAGAACACTGAGCATAGACCTGGCCTCTCTTCCCTTGGTCACCTGCTGACACAAATGTGTTACTTAATCTTAAACAACATTTAAATGTTTATTTTCCTTCAGTATAGTTCTGTGCCTATAATCCCAGCACTCCAGAGACTGAGGCAAGGAGGATCATGAGTTCGAGGCCAGCCTCGGCTACATAGCAAGATCCTGTCTCAAAAAAAAAAAACAAGAGTTCTGTGTGTGAGGCAGTATGGGTATGGTAAACACTGACATCTCTGTCCTATGGCCCTACTGCAGACTGTATCCCCGGAGGACAGAAAGCCCTTGCTCCTGTAAGCCCCTAGAGGTCAGGACAGGATCCAGCATGCCTACACCTTGCTCTGTGGCCCTAGTGTTGGCACCCAGGAAATGATTCTTGCTTTTCATAGCTGCTTGCCCAAGATGTTAATTCAAGGGTCAAACTGGAAATCACTGGTCTCCTGACTCATGAGCCAGTTCAAGGTCAAAGACCCAAGGTATGGATGTAATGGTTTCCCTTCCTGGAAGCCAAAAGCAAGCCATTGGCTGATGGGAAAAACCAAATCAAGGCCCAGGACCCGAGCGCCACTGGCACATCCAGCTCTACTTCCTTAGTCTCACCAAGACTGGCACAGGCCAGCTCGTGCTTGCTTGAGATATGTCAGTGGGGTTTGTGACATTACTCCTGTTACATTTTCCCTGTCCCATTGGTCCTTCCCTTAGGACATAATCACTCAGACCAACTCTTTTCTTCCAAATCACTAACTTGGGAAAGGTCTTTCAGACTTTGTGCAATTTAAAAATAGCCAAGAGGGCCCTGGGTTCAATTCAGTCACAGCACAGCCCCAGTATGGATCTGTCCTGGCTCCAACCATCAGGCCGTTGTGAGTGTAATAAGCACTATAGATTTCCCAGGGTCTCTGCCATCACAGCAGGCTTCACAGAAGGAGACATAGTGACAAAGCCAGGATGAGGACGTTGACTTGTCTTTCCAAGTTTGCTTTTGTGTAGGGGGCCTCGCCTGATATCCCCTTGTTCTCTCCTTCTAGGTGGGTCCAGGATCCAGCTTCCAGAATGTGGTATTCCTTGGCCTCTCTCTGCTGCCTGCTGGTGCTGACCAGTGCCCAGAGCAGGCTTTCTTTCCATCCGCTGTCGGATGAGCTGGTCAACTACATCAACAAACAGAACACAACGTGGCAGGTGGGCTACAGAACTGCTTCCTGTATCTGTCTCTGTGTCCCCCCATCTGTGGGTCAGCTATGCACCCTGTCTCCTGAGGGAGGGGGTTCTGTCTGTGGCCACAGGACATTTTCTCCTGGAAGTTTAAGTTCAGTACCACACCCAGTTCCTCCCTGACTCATATACAATATGAGTGTGTGCACGAGAGTGCACGTGTGTATATGCATGTGCACACAGGTGTGTGAAAGAACAAGCGAGCCTCAAACCAAGTGGACCCTTGAGAAGCCCACCATGGAAGATGTGATGGGTCATTAATGCTACCTTCCCAACCCCATTTCTGCCCAGCCATGAAGCCTGAACTGCTGGAACAGGAAACAACGGGCTGCGTTCAGCACTAGGGCAGGTCTCTTGGATCGCTCAGCTATTCTCCCATCCCCTTTGTCTCCCTTGAATTGGGCAGGACCTGTCACCTTCCCCAAGACAGGCCTTGTATGTGGGCAGGTAGATGACTGTCATGGTCATGGCTCTTTTCCAGGCTGGACACAACTTTTACAATGTGGACATGAGCTACCTGAAGAGGCTGTGTGGCACCTTTCTGGGTGGGCCTAAGCTCCCGGAGAGGTGAGTAAGGGGACACTGCCTGCCCCCCATACTCTGCACACTCCTGTGAACTGCAGCATTTCTGTGGGCCAGTGGGAAGGGGAAGAGAAAACTTTCCCCAGGCCCCTAGGCCTTGCTTCCCAAGGCTGCAGAGATGACTTGAGGTAATGCCAGGCTTTCTACTCTGCTTCTCGGAGGTATCTCAGAGTCCAGGTTGAAGCCCCAGGCATGGCAGAAGAGGTCTGGATGGATTCAATTCTGAATAATTCAAGGAACATCTAAGGAAAGCCATAGGAACCATTAATGCTTTTTTTTCATAGAAAACTGCAGTGGACATTTTCACACAGACATTACTCTTAGCAAGCATGAGGAACTTTTGCCCAAGGGTGGAGTAGTTGACTTTTGAGACTCCACTGTCTACACAATGTGAAGATATGAAAAAATGTGTAGCCGGGAGCCGGTGGCTCACACCTATAATCCTAGCTACTCAGGAGGCAGAGATCTGAAAGAATCACAGTTGGAATCCAGCCCTAGGCAAATAGTTCCAGAGACCCTATCTCAAAAAAAAAAAAAATCACAAAAAAGGGCTGGTGGAGTGGCTCAAATGGTAAGAGCACCTGCTTAGCAAGTGTGAGGCCCTGAGTTCAAACCCCAGTGCTGCCAAAAAAGAAAAAGGTTTGTATTACGTTGTCTAGCTTGAGCTTGTAGGGCTAAAAGAAAGACACAATTCTAATTTTTAGAGATTCAAAGTCAGAAAGATGGGAGAAAAATGAAAGCGTTTGTTTGGAGGGTTGCAACTAGACACATTACAGGAGGAAAAGTCCAAATGTAGGACTCTGCCTGGCTCTCCCTCCCTTTTGAGGACAACCACAGGACATGATCCTTGCACACTTTGTGCCACTGGGGTGGTGTTTGCTTTATTTGTTTTGAGATGGGGTCTTGCTATCTAGTTCAGGTGGGCCTCAAACGTTTTATCTTCCTGCCTCTCCTGGCCAAGTACTGGGATGACAGGCCTCTGCCACAATGCATGGCTTTTTGTTGTTATTGTGGTGGTGCTAGGGATTGAACCTAGGACCTCACACATGCTAGGCAAGCATTCTACCACTGAGCTGCATTCTCCAGCCTTGTTTGGAGATTTTTAATGCTTTTCGTAAACCATTGTAAAATCCAGGGAAGGGCACATTCATCCTGGTGGCCTGCTGAATGAATTGCAGATGCTGTCCTGTGCAGCTTCAGCATCTGCTTATTCCACTACACTGCTTCCATTAAGCTAAGTTGCTTTGAACAATAGGAAGAATGTAAAGGAAATCTCCCTGCCTGCTTTGTACATCTCCCGTCTCACTCCCCCTCTGGGGGACACAGCTCAGTCCAAGGCCAGCTGCTCTTACCTAGGGTGTCTTTGCAGGGATGGGGAACCAAGTCGTGGGGTGGGAGTTTGTAATGTAGACCTTCCTTTGTTCAGAGTTCAGTTTGCTGAGGACATAAATCTGCCTGAAAGCTTCGATGCACGGGAACAATGGCCCAACTGTCCGACCATCAGAGAGATCAGAGACCAGGGTTCCTGCGGCTCTTGCTGGGTAAGACCCTGCTGGCCCAGAGGGTGTCGGGGACAGGAGCAGGTTAGGGAGTGAACAGCAAGTGTAGGGAGGGACTAGCGGTGAGAGTCAAGTGATGTGAACTTTGATCAATGTAATCGTCCCTGTGGTCATGAGTTATTGCAAGGATTAGGAGGACTGATATGCATTCTGCAGATCCTAGTCCCATATACCTAGGTGATGAAACTCTTCTTCTCAGTAAATGCCAGCACCTTGACCTGTGTCTGGAGAGGCCACAGTTGGGGTATGGTGGCCTCCTTACCATATGGGACTTTTTCCCACAGGCATTTGGGGCTGTGGAAGCCATTTCTGACCGGATCTGCATCCACACTAATGGGCACGTCAATGTGGAGGCATCTGCAGAGGACTTGCTCACTTGCTGTGGTGGCCAGTGTGGCGATGGGTAAGTCTCAAACACCCCCCCACACTTGGAGACCCCAGGCCTCCGCTGGGCAGAGTGACTCTGAGGACTCTGGGGGATGGGACACTGTTTCTTGGCTGAGGCAGAGGGAGAATTGGGGGTCTGGAAGCGTGCCCTAGTGGCACTCCTGTTGTCGGGACACGCGTGGAGCCATGCTGGCCCCACAGAGACGAGTAGAGCAAAACATGGTCTCAGTATACTTGGTTGAATTTCTGATCACCAGTCTGGTTTTTGTCCTCGCTGCTCCTTTTTCTTGCTTAGGGAAACATACTCACCTTGGGCCAGTTTCCTTATCTATAATTAAGACTGAGGGACCCCAGGTGATCACACTGAACTAAATCCCTGACTCAGGTGCTTGCCAGTGCTAATGTCTGGCCCTGGGCCCACAGTTCTCAGCCACAGCTGCAGATTAAAAATAACTTGAGAACTTTTCAAAAAGAGTGCCTGAGCCTCATCCCACACCCATGAGGTACAGCCTTCCACAGGGATATGCTCTGAGACCCCCAGGGGATGCCTGAAACCAAGGATAGTACAGAACCCTGTATATGCCTGTTTTTTCAATACATAATTCACAAATCTAATGCTTTTTCCATCTTAACTAAGCACTTATCACTCATTATGGCCATACTCTTGCAGTTTGAGGCAAGGCAGCAAAACTAGCATGAATTTCTTTTTCTTTCTTCACAATTTCAGAGATGGAAGATTCATTCTCACCACAGATCTTAGCAATCTCAACATTTTTTTTTTCTTGTTGAGAACTTTTACCTTTTCACTTAAAGGAAGCATTTTCTGGCTTTTCTTTGGCAAATCTAAATTGCCAGCATCACTACTCTTGTGCTCTGGGACCATTAAGTAAAATGAGGGTTACTTGAACACAAGCACTGCAGTACCACAAGAGTGGATCTGATAACCAAGATAGCTACCAAGTGGGTGGTGCATACAGTTTTGATACTCTGGACAAAGATGATTGACACCTCATGCTGAATGGAATGGGATAATGTGAGATTTCATCATTCTACTCAGAATGTAATTTATTTCTGGATTTTTCCACTTAACATTTTTGGATTGCAGTTAATGGCACAGGTAACTAAAAACTCTGAAATCAAAACTTTGGAAAAGGGGGTAGGGGATACTTTATAATCTGCTGTGCATTTGACAATCACTGTTCCAGAAAGAAGGGCATTCGATATAGACAGGGATATGAGCGTCCTCTGTCCTCTGAAGAAACCTAGTGAACAGGGATGGGAACTTGGATGAGTCCCTGAAGAAGTGGCTATGGAGGGAGGATGAACTTGGGATATTGGGTTCTAGGAGGACTGTTTTGCCAGCTGGGCAGTGCAGGTCCAGGAGTGACCTTGGTACTTGTACTGGGCAGTATTCTAAAGTGATCTGAGAGCACCTGGAACTTTCTGCAATGAATTTTTTGGGGGGCAGTAGTAGGGTTTGAACTCAGGGCTTTACACTTGCTAGATAGGAGGTGCTCTATGGCCTGAGCCATGCCTCCAGCCCTTTTGCGATGAATTTAACAGAAGCTTTCTTTTTTTTTTTTTTTTAAAGCTGTAATGGTGGCTATCCCTCTGGAGCTTGGAACTTCTGGACCAAGAAAGGCCTGGTTTCTGGTGGCCTCTATAACTCCCATGTAGGTGAGTGTGTGTATACCTTCAGCCTGTGTTTCCCAGGTGGATTCATAAGCAATGAGTCATAGTAGTTCCATGTTCCATTATAAAGGGAATGTTGAGGACAGAGGGCTGGAGGATAGACAGACCAGCCAGCCCACTGATCAGGCTGCAGACATCAGGTTGGTCCCACCCCAGTTCTGCCTAGCCTGGAGGACTTTGCAGTGGCAGCTGCATGCTGACCCTTACTCCTGTTCCCTTGGTCCATCAGGCTGCAGACCCTACTCCATTCCTCCTTGTGAGCACCATGTCAATGGCTCCCGGCCCCAGTGCACAGGGGAGGGAGACACTCCCAAGTGCAGCAAGACCTGCGAACCTGGCTATTCCCCGTCCTACAAAGAAGACAAGCACTTCGGTAAGTTGGGGTCTGGACCCAGGTCTGTTGAGGGACAAAGAGGCCAGGGCCATTAAATTCCAGAATGCCAGGGAGGAAGAAGGGGTAACTCACGCCTGTCCCATCAGAGGGAGCCATGCTTCCCAGATCTCTGCTTGCTGCACCATGAATCCAACTTCAGCAAGGCAGCAACCTGTCTCAGAACCCTGGGGTCCTTGACCCCCTCTTCCAGGGCCTCACTGTGTCACTCCACTCTGCCCTAGCCCCAGCTCACTCCTTATTTAGGAAGCCTTCTTTGACCTTTTCTGAAAGGCTGACCCTCAATCATCACCAGGCAGGCCATGGTAAATCAGCAAATAACTGCCTGAGGGAGCTATAGGCAGTACATTCACCCCACCTGGCCCCTGTTCCTTCTCCAGGGTACACCTCCTACAGTGTCTCCAGCGATGAGAAGGAAATCATGGCAGAGATCTACAAAAATGGCCCAGTGGAGGGCGCCTTCACTGTGTTTTCGGACTTTCTGATGTACAAGTCAGGTGTGTATGGACCTCAGACCACAGCCAACATTGTGGGGAGGTTGGAAATCAGGAGCCCAGATGGGTTCAGGTTGGCCATCAGGGTGGGAAGGCTGGGCTCCCAAGGAAGGCTATGGAATCTTCTTGCCCCCTCGTTCCTGGGCAGACTTCAGCTTGTGGCTCCAGTAGTTTTGCTATCACAGCTTCTCCTTGGCTCTGTGCTCCCTGGCTTCGTTCAGCTCTGCACATGGTATTCCACAAGGCCTCTCCAGGGGCTTCTGTTTAGCTAATTCCCCTCCTCATGCAAGCCAGGTCAGCGGTCTTCTCTGTGGAGGCATCCCCTCCCTGGCAGCCATCACTCTGCTTTTGCCTCTATCCTTTAGCCCCCCCATCCATATTTGAACCCTGGGGGACTGAGTGGCCCATATCATTCCTCTTTGTCTTTGCAAATGCCTAACGTCACCCCTGCCCCCACCCCATGACTAAACATGGAATGTGTTGCTATCATGCCCACACTTGCCTTGAATTCATGATTCTCCAGTCTTAGCCTCCCAAGGTGTGCACCACCACACCTGGCTACATGGCAGTGCTTCACACAGTCCCCACCCATATTGCGAAAGGTGCATTTCCAGTTTGACTGCGTGATTCACCTACCAGGGAAGGTCTGGTTGGCCAGCTCTCTGAGCACCTAGGCCAGCACCTTCCCTATCAGCCAACACCAGTTACCTACCAGCCCTTTCTCCCTACTCACCTGTCCGATGTACCCGAGGGTCTTCCAGCATCCTTCCAGATGCTTCCAGATGCTCCACCACTGAGCAATACCCCTAGTCCTCTCGTGCTTCTCTTTCAGGGCAGCAGTTGGTTCCTGTGGAGCCTGCTTCTCGTGCCTGGGGGCGGCTAGCTGGGCTGGGGTGCTGCGGGAGGTGCAGTGGCTAGGTTTGCTCTGACCCGCCTTCTTCTCAGGAGTGTATAAGCATGTGGCTGGAGACATGATGGGTGGTCATGCCATCCGCATCCTGGGCTGGGGAAAGGAAGGCGGCGTCCCCTACTGGCTGGTGGCCAACTCCTGGAACACTGACTGGGGAGACAAGGGTGAGTGGCACCCCTTCCTGCTGAGATCGGAAGCCATGAGCCATTTCGGCTTCTCTAGTTCACCCATGGCGCAGCTCTAAACCCCAAGCCTAGGGTTTGGCCGTGACTTCCCAAGCACGCAGATGCCAGTGAGTCCAGGTGTAGTCTTGGAGCCTGAGAGAAGGCAGGGTGCACCAGCTCACAGCTTCACAGAGCTGTGCACACAGCTCCCGTTGCTGTGAAGGGGCACAAGGCGACAGTGGAAGTGTGTTGCCATGCTAAGAGCCAGGAAAAGCTGATAGGGCATATGATCCTGCTGGGGGTGGGGCTTGATAACTTACTCCTAGGTCTTGTGATGAATCTGAATGTACTGACAAGAGTCAAACCCCAAGGCATGCCTATGATCCCAGCACATGGGAGGCTGAGGCAGGAGGACCACAAGTTTGAGGTCAGCCTGGGAAACAAAACCCTGATTCAGAAAACAAAACAAAACAAAACCCAAGGCATATTTTCAAAGCACCTTACTCTTCTTTCCTAGGCTTCTTTAAAATCGTCAGAGGAGAGGATCACTGTGGAATCGAATCAGAAATTGTGGCTGGAATCCCACGTACTGACCAGTACTGGAGAAAGATATAGTCTGCATGCCTGACTGGCCAATCCTGGGAGAGTTCTTCCCTAAATGTAGCCAGCTAGGCTGGGAGAGAGATGGGGCAGGAATTTCTTCTTTGAGTTCACATAAGATGCAAGGGGTTTTAGAACCTGAAGGACTGGATTGGGCCAAACTCACACCCTGCCATCAGAGCTGTCTTCCAAGGAGACATCTCCTTTCCTGGCTCCCTCCCAGCCTATTCAGTGGACAGTGCTGCAGCGCAATCAGAGCCCCCCTCACCGCCTCCCCACTAGATTAGTGCTGTGTGTAGTGCCTGCTGTTCCAGCTCTGGCTGCAATCCCTCCTACCCCCACTCCTACATCTGAGCATCTCCAGAAGCAAGACAGACCCAAGGGCTTGGGGCTGCAGGTTTTCCACAGGGGCATAAGGCGGAGTTCCTAACAAGAGGACACGTGCCCACCCATCAGCAGCCTCTAAGCAAGTCACCTTCTAGTTCTGTGACAGGTACAGAGGAAGATGTGTGCAGCCCTCTGGAGAAAGCCACCTTTTCCCAGAGCACCTGCATTTGTCCTGCTTTGTGATGTTACAAGCCCTCTCTGGTCTTGGCCTTGGCCAATTCTATTTTTTAATAGAGTTTTTGGGGTTTTTTTGTGCACACTTCAGCTGGTCATGTCAGTGACCAACTCTTAATAATTTAAGAGCTGTACTAGTTTTACAGATTGTCCCCTAATGGTGTGGCTGAAAACAAGCCAAGTGGTCGCAATTTGCTGGCTGACCTACTGACCTCAACTACCACAGTGAACCTAGTTTGGGAGAAAACAGCTTTTGCTGGTTTTGTTTTGTTTTGATTTGTTTTGTTTTTTAAATCACTGCTTCACACTGTCAATTTAACAAGGAATGATCATGCCAATAAAAGACTGCTCCAGCTGGACATCTGTGCTCCGACAGCATCTCAGAGGCCATTAGGACAGTTCTGTGTCCTGGGGGCCACATGTCCTTGCAGCTCTCAGAGCCTTGTGCTAACTTCTCACTGTTCAGCCACATTCTCAAGGTGTGAAGTCTGTCTTCTCCTGGTTCCCTATTGCCCCATCACCCCTTCTCTAAAGTCCATCCCCAGCATTGCGCCCAGCCTTGAGCTTGCCCCTGCTTAGAGATAAGGAAGTAGATGTACTTCAGTTTTTATTAACCACGGGCCAGCAGCAACCTGCTCCAGGTCTCTGCTTATAGTTTGCAGGCAATGATCTCATGTGACCAGGCTGCCCTTCTTCCAGAACCATGTTCCCTGGGGTGAAGCCACTGCCAGTTGGCATATTCCTGAATATGTATGAAGTATGAATAGCGGAAGTGCCAGTTCCTAGGGAGCAGGAAATTACAGTGTTTAGTCCTTGTAGAGGACTAACTGGCCTGCCTGTTGGTATCAGTTATTTCCCTTCCCTCCTGAATGGATGGGAGTTGGGTTGGCTCTTTCCAGAAGCCTGGGAAGCTTGCCTTCCCCTAAATTCAGAGCTACAAAAAATGAGCTCTTTAACCCTGCTGAGAACTAGGGTAAGGCTCATGATAGAGCCTTTGCCTAGCTTGGCTCCGAGTTTGAGCTCCAGTACCACCAAAACCTGGTGATATTGTAGGAAAAGTTTGTGCTACTTCTCAGCTACTTCACTATGATGTATTTGAAATTGCAAGATTCGGTGAATTTTGACATAGTTCTGCCTGCTCCCAAATGGAGTCAAATACTTCACTCCCATATTGCCTTGCACCCTCACCTTGTGCCTACCTCCAACTCCAGTCCTCCCCGTGAGCCAGTGAGATTGCTCTTGCTGAATGAGCCTCTGTTGGAAAAACTTGCAACTGGGGAGGCTCTCGGTGCTTCAATAAACCACGGATTACCCCAGGGGTCATCCTTTTCAATTCAGTAGTTTTTGATAGGTACCTGTCCAAAGGGGGACAATGCCTTTTTGTTTTTACCTATAGAAGAGCATTCATTTGTGAATATTCAAGTTTAAGACAACCTTTTTGACCTCCGAGCACCATACACTAAGGGCTTTGCTACCCCATGTAGGCTGCACAATCACCAGGACTCTAGACCTTGTTTGAAACCAGTGTTAGGATGAATGTCAACCTCTGAGCCAAATTTGCATCCTCTCAGACCCCAGGTCATTCCTAGGTACGTTGAAGTTGGAGGAATGACGCCTTTCAGCAGTGGTCTCCAAACTGGGCCTTTGATCAGCATTCATGTCACCTGGGAAATTAGGCAGATTCTTGGGCATCACTCCAGACTTTCCTGGTCACAGAAATCTCTGGTCCTTGTAATTGGGCAGTTGTGATGCACACTGAAGTCTGAGAACCACAGCCTCAGAACTCAAGTTCACAAAACTTCCAAGTTTTCCCCTACTTCCTTTCCCTAGGATATGGCTCAGTGGGTGAGTAACAAGAACAAGCTGCAGGTAGTGTATGGAAACTTCCATCTGCAGAAGTTTCCAAAATATGGAGAACAGGCTCTTGCTCCCAGCTGCTGCAACCATTTATTATAAAGCCCTGGTTCAGATGGGTTATGTGGTCCTCTGAGGACACCACACACCACTGTGAGCAGAAGCCAAGCAGATTACACCAGGGATGCTTTAGCTTAGTTGCGTTGAAAGTGGGGAGTTGCTGGGTGCAGGTGGTTACACTCATAGTCCTAGCTACTCAGGAGGCAGAAATCAAGAGGCTCACAGTTCAAAGCCAGCCTGGGCAAACAGTTCAGCAGGAGACCCTACCTCAAAAATACCCAGCACAAGAAAAGGGCTGGCCAAGTGGTTCAAGTGGTAGCTTGCCTGCCTACCAAGCACGAGGTTCTCAGTTCAAACACCAGTACCACAAAAAATAGAGGGTAGGTACCAGATTTAGCAAATAGAAATGTAGACTACCAAGTTAAATTTGAGTTTCAGACAAGCAAGTACTTCTTAGTATATGTTCTGTGCAATATTGGGGTATAATTATACTAACAAACCCTTTATTTGAAATTTAACTGGGTATACTGGACAACCCTAGAGAGAAGATACTCAGAAGGGAAACAATACTTGCCAGAGCTAGAGCTGAGGCTTTTGTGCAAGTCGGTGAGAACAATTTACAGAGCTTGTGGCTGATGGAGCCTCACAGCACAGGTGCCCCCAGGCAGCAGATCAGAAATAAGGAAGGCTCGGACCAAAGCTCATGCCTAAATCTAAATTTCAACTACCCAAATTTGTAACAAACCTCCTTGAAACCCCAAGTTGAATTTTGGTGTTTAAATTACTTGGAGAATACTGTTGAGTCTGACTTACAGCCAGTTGTACTCTGGCAATTACCTTGTCTAGCTTCTGCATGGGAACCCATTCAGTGAAGTCTCCACAGATCCAAACCAACCCAATTTTCTCACAGTAGGAAAATCCACGGGTTCATGTTTAACAGTGCAAATCCAGCATTACTTCTGGGAAAAGCCCTCAAGTCAAGGATAAGACACCCTGCACAACAGACTGAAGAAACCAGGACACGAGGTTCTGAGTGTGTGTCCTAAAGGTTCATGTGCTGGAAGCTTGATACCCAGTGTGGAGGTGGTAGGACCTTTGAGAAGTGAGGCCTAATGCAAGGACAAAGTCATTGTCCTCAGAAGGGATTAATGCTGGGCTTCATGAGTCCTCTCTCCAGAGACCAAGCTATTGTGAAAAGAACAAGCCTGACTCTGAATCCTTCCTGCTTCCTGCCTTGTGATCTGTCCTGCAGCTGTGACCATTGTCATGCCATCCTTCACAAGGTCCCCAGAGGCCAAACACATGGGGCTACCTGATCTTAAAGACTTTCAGCCTCCAAACTGTGACCTCTTTTCTTTGTAAAGTACGACCCTCAGGTTTTGTTATAGCAGGAAACAGACCTAGGGCATTTAATGGCATCTACAATGTTGATGCCTACAACATTGGTCAATCTTTTTCAGACACCCTGAACAGGTGCCATGTCCCCCTTGCTCATGGGGAAGAGTGTGTCTCAAACTCCATTTGTGCTGAGGTGAAACCATTCTGGTAGGAAAATTCAGCTAGGATTAATCTGACCTTCTAGCCAATCACCAGAAAACATCTTTTGCCCTTCTTGAGACTTCAATGAATATGCCGGAAATGAACAAAAAGAGAAAAGCTGGGGGAAAAAATGTGATCCCTCAATTACTAACTCCATCCACCCCAGGCCAAGTGGGCTTTCTGGTGAACTGCACTTGATAAATCAGTCATTACAGCTTATTATAAACACCTTCTCAAAAGCATCGGTCCTTACCAGAGGCTCTGAAAGCAAGTTAGGCTTCCTTTGAGGAAACACTGCCAGAACATTCCTACAAGTCTGTATTATTATTATTTTTTTTTTTGTGGGACTGGTGTTTGAACTGTTTCGCATTTGCAAAGCAGCTCTACTACAGCTGCTCTACCAATTGAGCCACACCTCCAGCTCATTTTGCTCTGGGTATTTTGGAGATGGGTGTCTCGTAAACTGTTTGCCTGGGCTGGCCTCAAACCTCAGTCCTCCCAATCTCAGCAGCCCAAGCAGCTACGACTACAGGCGCCCAGCTTAAGTCTGTCTTCTTAGGAAGCATGCAAATATTACCTAGGACAATAAGCATGTATATTTACCAAAGAAAATGAAACGAGAAAAACAGGAACCAGATGGAAGGAATATTCACTTCATTTTCTATGATAGGTATTTAAAGATTGCTTCAAATTAAGTACATTTAATTATCATTCCCAGGGTTCACACTTACGAACTTGCCACGGTGCCCACATGCAGCCACTTCACCTCAAGTGAAGTATCACATTCTTCTCAAGTGCGTTTCACAGTTTCTAAACGTCGAAGTGCTGAGTTCTTTGAGGAATTAAAATAGCAGGAAAAAAATAAAGGGAAGGCAATATCCTTGAAGAAAAGGTAAATCTGTTTCATGTGAATTTCAGCTTCCAGACAAATTCAAGTCAGTGTTCTCCAGTCTGGACATAGTCTTCTGTGACCTGGGACAGGGTGCTCAGGTACTGCCAGCTCAGGGCAGCCAAGAGCATGACAAAGGACAGGTAGATGGGGGAATAGTGGCTTCGGGAGATCATCTGACAGTTGGGAAGATTCTGTGTCCTGATCGTGGAGATGATTTGCCTTGTTTTACTAGAAGATGGGTCCGAGTTGGGGATTCTGTGATAAATCTGTTAAAGAAAGGAAAGACCAGTCAGTGCTGCGGAGCGGGTGCTTCATAAACGTTTTCCATGGTTACTTTAACAATCTGTAACAAGCACATTCTTCAGCCCATCTCACCAGTGAGGAACCAGGTTCAGAACATTGAAGTAACCTGAGTAACGTCACTCTGCTGATAAGGCAGGGACATCAACCAGGCCTGTCCTACTAAGCCAGGGCCCCACTGTGCAATGCTGTATCTGGGAGCCACCAGGAGCCTCAAGAGCAGCAGCTGCTCCATGTTCACTTCATCTTCAGATCTCCAACGCCTTGTGGTGCCAGGCACATGGTAGGTGCCCAGTATATGTTGCCATGGTTCAACCAGGCTGACCAGAGCAGTATGGAGAAAGGAAGGATCCCAGAAAGACTGGGCAAAAGCCACTTAGGGAAATGAGATTCAACATATGATCCGGGCCAGAGAAGCAGGGAGACCCAAGGCTCATCCTGGAATCCTGCCTGGACTCCCCACCTCCAGAGCCCCTGCAAGAACCTCCAAAACCTTTTCAGAGTCCCACTCTCCCCTACATCCCTGCTCTGATCAGCCAAGGTCAGGAGTTTAGTGACTCTCCTCTAAACTATCCCAGCCATCAAACTGAGTCCCTGCCTCTATACCTGAGCCTTAAATTCACTCACCTGTTCACACTGTCACCAGAGAAATTTAAAACCTGTGCTCCGTGCTGGGGACATGGTTCAAGTGGTAGAGCACCTGCCTGGCAAGTATAAGGCTCTGAGTTCAAACCCCAGTACTACCAAAAAAATAAATAAATAAAAACTAAAACCTGTTCTCAATAACCAGAGCGGCCCTCTCTCAAACACAGAGCAGCTGCTCCTTCACGACACTCTCCAGATGCACAGGCCACCGCACACTTCCCCTTTCTCTTCTCCCACCATGCCTTCTGAAATGCTCCACTCCCATCCACTGGCTCTAACCTCCATGCTGGGCGAAGAACCATTCTACTACATGGAGACAAGCTACTGGTACAGAGTGGTACAGGTCTCCCTAATGAAGTTATACCTGTCTCATTTACCTTTTCATCTCCAGCCTAGCACTGTGCCTGGCACACAGGAGTACCGAACCAAACTCACAAGCCAGGTTAAGAGGTTAATGGCAGGAAATAATGAGCTGAGCCAGGGCTGGGGCACAGGGTAGAGAGAACAGAGCATTTGGAAATAAATTTTTAGCCAGGGGCTGTGGCACACTCAGGTGGCTAAGGCAGGACGATTGTGAGTTTAAGGACAGACTGTCTACATAACAAGACTCTCCCCACCCCCACCAAAATTTAGTGAGTTTTTACCCCAAATTTTCATTATACAATCAGTATTTTCTCCACAAAGATATCTTACATTCTTGCCACCTTCCCCCCAAAAAACACAGCTGGAATGTAAGGAAATTATGGCCACAGTAACATGTTAATGATAACTAATGTCTCGTATTATGCTACAAAGGACATCTAGAGAACAAAACTCAGGTGAGATGACACTACATTTTCTTCTTGAACGTCATTTTAAAATATTTTCTTTCTGTAGACAGGGTTATATTGACCTCAAACTCCCAATCCTGTTGCCTCCAGCCTTCTGAGTACTTAGGTTACCAGCACCACTACACCCAGCTCCAAAAGTATTTTAGCTAACGAAATTCTGCCTGTAGTAACAGCAGAACAGAAGTAAACTAACAAACCAAACTTCCCCACTCTTCCTCCTCATGGGCCACTGCAGTTACTTTCAGACCTCTTGCTATGCCCATAAAAGCCACATATATGAATGTATACAATGTCCCATATGTGAAGTATTATCCAAATTACATATCAACATACATAAATAGGTACTATACATAAAACATACCATTTTAAAATTTTTTTTAACTTTTTTGTTTCGTGAGGCAAGGTCTCTATAGGTACCCCAGGCTGGCCCTGAACTTATGATCTTCCTGATCAGCCTCTGCCTGAGTGCTGGGATTACAAGTGTGCACCACCACATCCAGCTTACATATATACAATTTTTAAAAATAGGATATAACCATTTTTCTATAATTTGACTTTTTACTCATAATTTTTTACTGACATTTTCAATGCTAGGACCTAAAAAAAATTTTGAAACACAGCTCCTTATAATTTAATGAATTCTCTACTGCAATAGCTTAGATGTTGAGCATCCTCCACAGGCCCATGTGTTAAAGGCTTGGTCCCCACAGTAGTGCTACTGGGAGGTGGTAGAAGCTGTAGGAGTTGGAGCCTAGTAGGGCATCCTTAGGTCATGCAGGTATGCCCTTGCAGGGAATTACAGGCCTGGTCTCTTCCTCTTTATTGCTCACTGGCTCAGGATAGAAGGGGTTAACTCTGCCATGAACTCCTACTATGATGTGCTGCCTTGCCACAGGCCCAAAATAATGGGGCCTATCAGTCACGAACTGGAACTCCAAAACTGTAACCCAAAACAAACTTTCTCTTTGTAAATTAATTCCCTTGGGAATTTCACTATAGGGAAAAACAAAGCTAACATTTCTCCCAAGTAGGGTTCAGAACAAAATGCTTCAGCATACAGACATCCTTGCACATTTTCTGGCTATTTCTATAGACTAAAAGTCCTGTAATTTCTGGGTCAGAAGATAAGAGAAAGCATAAAGTTAGATGAGGCTAGAATGGGAACCGCTTTCATGTAGGGTTGGGGAGAAGAAAGCACTCCAGAATGTCCCCAGGATTCCATGAATAGGCAGATGGCAATGTCATTAACAGCAAAATTAAAGTTCATGCCCCACTGCTCATGCTGGGTAACTGAGGCAGGAGCGATGTGCACAAGGTCAAAGTGGCAGCTGCAGCAGATGACAGGGGCCAGAAAACATCCATGTCACAAGAGGGAAAAGTGAAAATCAAAACAGTGCAAGGCAATACAGCACTGATGGAGCAGATGGAGAGGGACAAAGTGCAGGCACGGGCAGAGGCAAGAGGTTAAACAGGAGACAAGAGCTCACGTAAGCCCAGAGGGAAAGAAGAACTTCCTGTATCAAATAACACAGATGGGTCGAGGAAGATTTAAAACAGAAATTACTTATCAGATTTCTAATTAGGAGGCCATCACCAGTTCACTTCAGTAAGCAAAACCCTAATGCACCCACCGCCCAAGTGCCAATTTGTACCTTGAAAAGGGCTCAGCTCCAAGAACCAGGCAATGCCCTCGAGTAGCCACAGGGAGTGTGTAAGACAGACAGTTACAGGGACTTAACAAGATGGCCTTCCTGAGGAATCCACTTAGGCAATAGGGGGAATTAAAATTTTTGGGTGTTTGCCTACACATTTCTTCTACTCCAAACACACCCCAAAATAGTGGGCTGATCTCCCTGGGTAACAGGTGTGCGGCTGGTTTGAACCAAGGCTGCTCCAGGTATGGACGAGAGCCTTTGCTCTGCCTCCTCGCTTGCTGCTTGGGCTGACGGGAGACCTCCGTGAGCTCTCTCTCACATGCACTCTCACTGCACCACCAGGCAGGCCAGAGACTTACCACAAGAAAACTGGTTCAGGAAGGAGAAACAGGACCAGTTCTGTCTAGCACCTGACAGCAGCAGTCAGGCCACCTGGAGACTTCAAGTCAGTCTCCACTTCAAACTTCACTTGTAAAATGTCCTTAATGTTGATTTTTTTGTCCCAGGGAACAGCGCAAACGCAGTCCCCCACTACCACAAATTATGCAGTCGAGTTTCCCACATTTGGGGAAATCACAGGGGTCAGTACATCCGGAGTGCAATAGATAAGCCTCGCCCTGGGAAAACCACCTTCATGATCATGGTATCTCCCCTGCCAGGTAAGTATCTTAATGTTGATTTTAACTAGAGTAACTTCAAACAAAATAACCAATGCCCCAGATCAGAGGGCAGAGAGCCTTCTACTAAGGGGCCAAAAAATAGTTTTCTGAGACACCCTCGGGTCACAGCTACTCAACTCTGCCCTAAAATTGCAAAAGCAACCACAGATGATAAACAAATGGATATGGCTGAATTCCAATAAAAATGTATTTGCAAAAGTAAAGAGCCAGTCAACTCTGGTGTGCCTGCCCTTGCCCTTGAGCAAGCTATGAATCAGAAGCAGAATTTCATTCCAACAGTCAAAATAAACATGACCTTTAATCATTCGAGGCTTATGGTTTCCTGAGATCAGTGATCAGAATAAAAACACTGGCTGGAAATAGTCTGTGACCCACATGCTAACTTACACAGAGTGAGGAAACGGTCTTGCGTGGCACAATTCTGGTGAGAAAGGGTCACAGGCGCTGGAGGTGGACAGACATGGGTCTACCTTGTGGCTCATCCCTTGGTGTGAGACCTGATAGCAGCCTACTCGGTTGCTCTGCCAGGTCCAACCGAAACAGCAGAGGCTGAATGAGGACCACCAAGTCACCAGTGGAAGGCTTTTGGTCAACAGCTGAATATGTTCACCTAGTTACTGAAGGAATTTTATTTTATCTTATTTTTAAGATCTGGTCTCCTCTTAAGATTCCCCCCGCCACACACACACACAGGTGCTTCTGGTAGAAATGCTGGTGTCTAAAACTTGTCAGGTGGAGGAAGAAGAAACACAAGGAGAATGTGCAATGTGTAACAGACAGCAGGAGAGAATTATTTTAAGAATTCTGCTTAGGGGAAAACACTGTCGTAACATGATGCCCTGCATCACAGGTCTGCAAGCTTTCTATCAAGGGACCAATAGATATTTTTGCAAGGCACAGCAGAGGAAGTGGAAGTCCACAAAAAAACCATTGGCAGCAGTTGTCTCTGGGGAAGAATTCAGGACTAAGTAGAAGAGGGGGTTCTGGGGAAGAATTCAGGACTAAGTAGAAGAGGGGGTTCTTTCTTCTATTTTTTTTCCCTTTTCCGGCAGTACTGAGGATTGAACTCAGGGCCTTGTGTTTAGTAGACAGGTACTCTACCAGTTGAGCCACGCCCCCAGTCTTTTTTGCTTTTAGCTATTTTTTGGATATGGTCTTACTTTTTTTTTGGCCTGGGACAAGCATTGGACCTCCTACCTAAGCCTTCCACTGTGATTATAGCTATGAGCCACCACACCTGCCTTCTTTGTGGAGATAGGTTCTCACTAACGTTTTACCCAGTATGGCCTCTAACCACAATCCCAAGTAGCTGGGATTACAGATGGGGACTACCATGCCTATCCCCTCTTGTGTTTTCTTAGAACTTCTGTAGTATTTCCATCTAAGGACCACAGCATTATCTCCAACCTCTCTCAATCAGACATGACAATAAAAACATCTCCAGATATTGCCCAATGTCCTCTAGGAGGATGAAGACAAGTAATCTCCAATTAAGAACCACTGCTCTAGGGCCTAGAGGTTATGGAGAGGTCTATCCTCTAAGAGAAAACTGTGAATCTTGTCACCTGTTAGCCTCTATGGTTGGTGATCTGGCTTGACCAGGCATGTTTCGTTTTACAGAGTAGTTCTGATGTTTGAAATAAGATTCCTAGAAGGAAACTCAGAAATGATTGTGACTTGATGGTTTTCCTTTGCCCAAATTCCCTACTCAGCATTTTTCAAGTGAGGCCTGTGATGGGATGGAATACAGTGGACCAGGTGTTAGAATGTGAGGTCTGGAGTCTGGGATCCACTTAGCACGTACTGTGCTAGCTTACTTGCTTGGCCTCTAACGGCATCTCCCAGCTCACATCATTGCTCCTAGAAGCTCCAGCCCATAGCCTCACTTCATTAATCTGCTCTCACCAGGTTCTACAGAGCTCAGCCCGGCTCCCGTGCACATGCTCTTCTCCTAATGAAGGATGTCAACACTGGTCTCTTCAGATCACAGCATAGTGAGTTGTTAGGATCATCTAATCTCCAAATATGGCCTGTTTAAATAATACCATTCACAGCATTAAAGTAGCTACAGATGATACACAAAGTTAAACAAAAACCCACCTCTTCCATATACTGATATATTATAGCTTTGACAGCTGGCATGTTGGTTGCATCCATCATTAGGGTAACCGCTTGCCCCTTCCGGATCTTCACGACTCCTTTGAACACCTGCTGGTTATTGTAACAGGCAGCCAAGGTAGCAATGGCCATTACCTACAGATGACAAGGAGAAGGGAAAATTCACAAGCAAGTCAGCAATGGAGCTGCAAGCAATCATCATCATGAGAAGATGCAGTGTGCAACCGCCAGAAAGCCAAATAACTGACCAAGAGGAAGGCGTGTCCATTCACCTCTCTTTCTCAACAACAGCTATGTGTCTTTGCAAAATCAAATTATTCTGACCTTTACCACAGAAGTTTTATTTTATTTGGAAAAACACACACCCAAGTAAATCCAACATTCTCCATGCTACACCTAAAAGACATTATTTCAAAATTTCTGGAAAAACTCTAGTTTAGTTATTTGCCTACAATTAATAAAATCATCACATACTAAAAAAATGAGAGGAAAGCAACGTAAGGGGAGAGGATTTCCTGTGCTCCAAGGTAAACTCTCGTAGGAGAAATGGAAACCCAACACAGGCATACGATTTTGGTTCTTTCACCTAAAGCTGCTCAGTTAAACCCTATGACTTTCTTCACCTGTTAGAGTTAATAACCAAAATAACTGGTAAGACCAATTAGCAGGTATAAGCACCTAGAAAAATTGAAGAGCTAGCTCTACAGGATCAAGCTGTGTGATCCCAAGTCCAGGAAAAGACAAATAATTTAATTAAGTTATTATTATTAATTAAGGTACTAAATAATTTAATAATTTAATGAAGACTTTTAATAACAACCACACAAAAGGTTTCACCTGCACTCCCCACCATTCAGACTGAAGCCTTTGATTTAACTGTGAGCATAAAGATCAAGCTACTTTAGAACAGGTGACAGGAAAAGAGTAGATCCAGAAGGAAGGTTCTGGAACTGACAACCTTAAACCCGAGTTGAGTACAATGCTGGGGAGGCAAAGAGGGTGTTGTGAATCACTGCCTGCTCCCCAGAAAAATAACTCTACAGTCATCTTTTTAAGGAACCATGTCCCTAAACACAGCAGAGCAAAACAGTCACTATACTCTTTTACCACCATCCCCAGCACCACTCCTTCAGTCCATTTCCCACAGACCAACAGAGTCCACTCCCCACCTGCGGAATAGCACAGAAGTTAAACACAGTCTGGTTCCGGAGTCTGGACAGGTAGGTAATGACATCAGGGATGTGGCTCAGAGCACTGGTTATGAGTTCATTCATGCACTGCACGGCTACATCAACATTCTCTGGCTTGGCAAAATCCCCCAGCTTCTTCACGTATCTGCCCCAAACCTAGCCAAGAAAGAAGGACAAAAACAAGTCAATGCGTGTGCAGGAGAACTTAAGACATCGAGAGAGGTATGTGGAGGCTGAGGTGTGGCTCAACGTGAATGAGGCCCTGGGTTCCACCCCTAGCACAGCAAAAGGTTCTGCCACACATAGTACATCTCTTGGTTGTTGACTCATGGTTCACCAAGACAGAGCCTGTTTTAAGTACCATGCAATAGCCATTTATGACTCCCCATCAAGGTCTGGTCACAGCACCGGAGTGAGTTAGGGACCTGGGAAGGTGTCCCTTACAAACAATTAGTGCAACATGCACTAAGGCATACCTTATGACCTCAGGCTACAGAGACCTGCTAGATTACTTCTAAAAAAACAAATAAAAAACCCAGCTATAGACATAATCTGCTACAGCAGATTTTCAAGCAAGGAAACATTAAAAATTCTCAAGAGCCAGTGCCAGTGGCTCACGCCTATAATCCTAGCTACTCAGGAAGCAGCGATCAGGAGGACCAAAGTTTGAAGCCAGCCCAGGCAAATAATTCATGAGATCCTATCTCAAAAACATCCATCACAAAAAAGGACTGCTAGAGTGGCTCAAGGTAGTTCACGAGACCCTATCTCAAAAAACCCTTCAAAAAATAGGGCTGGTGGAGTAGCTCAAGAGGAAGGCCCTGAGTTCAAACCCCAATAAAAATAAAATTTCAAGATGCCCAGGCCTCAATATACTTCATGATTAATACCTCAGTTCCAATTGTGATAAAATGCTATTAAGGAACATACTAAGAGGAAACAAGTGGGTGTACGTTCCAAGAACATCACCTCTCTGGATCTCAGTAACTTGGAAGTAAAATAAGTAATATCTTCAATGCCGACAATATGACTGGTTTGATGATTTATGTATGTATTTTTGGCTTTTGAGATAGGGTCTCACCATGTAACTGACTGCCTTGAATTTGCCATGTAGCACAGGATGGGGTCAAATTCTTGATCCTCTAGCCTCCCAAGCAGCTGGGATTACAGATATGCACCACCATGCCCAACCTGGTTTGATGATCTTTAATATTCAAGGGTTTTCTTTTCTTTTTTTTAAATTTTAACAAGGATTTCTTTTAGTGTAACAGGATAAAGTAGGGGGAAATAGGGGGAAAGGGAGAAACATTTCCTGTTCCCCACACAGGAAATGGGAGTAAAGATTTCTCAAGGGCTTTCTGAAGCTAGTATTCTTGGGGAGTACTTAAGCTTCCTAAGAATGATGCTCACTATAACTTTTAACAGGATTAGGGTGTTCTATTGAAAGTCAAATTTTTCATCCATTTTTAATTTACACCTAAATCTACCCAGTTGGTGGTATAGGACTGTTCCGCAGAACCTAGAGAAAAATACTTAATGAAACCTGTACCAACCATCTGGCTTCAACAATTATTGACATATGACAAATATTGTTCCAAGCTAGCATTGGTGGTATAGTGGTGAGCATAGCTGCCTTCCAAGCTGGGCAAAGGGTCCTCACACCTGTAATCTCAGCTACTCAGGAGTTGGAGATCATGAGGATCACGGGTGGAGGCAAGCCCAGGCAAAAAGTTAGGGAGACTCCATCTCACCAAATCAGGTAAGGCATGGCGACTCACAACTGTGAGCCCGGCTCTATGGGCGGTCACAGGCAGGATGACAGCAAGACTCTTATCTAAAAGAAAAAAGGCAAGAGGCATGCTTCCAATGGTAGAGCCCTGACTAGCAAGTGAGAGGACCCAAGTTCAAATCCCAGTACTGTTAAAAAAAAAAAAAAAAAAGTTCACTGGGTGTACTATAACACAATTCAATAGGAGACAGTGTTAGAACCCACAGGTTCAGGGCTCAATCCTACAAGATCCTACAAGGATGCACCATTTCCACCCCCCCCCCAACCACCACCAAGATGTCTGCTGTAAGTAGCAAGCTGTCACCTATACTTCTGACTGACCAGCTATAAACTGGGGTTTCCATGACCCTTCCTCAGGGCTTGACTAACCTGTTAGAGCAGCTCACAGAGCTCAGAAAACACTTGACTTAGGCTTAACCATTTATTATAAAGGTTTATTATAAAGGATGCAGACAGACAGATGTTTGGGCAGCACTCCCTACCCTGTCCAGGCACCTCCACTTATTCACCTATCCAGAAGCTGAGTCCTGTATTCTCAGGGTTTTCATGGAGGCCTTACTATAAAAGCACGATTGATTAAATCACTGGATATGGGTGATCAACTCAATCTTTGGTAACTCCCTACTCCACAACCCCTCTTTCACCTCTTACCCCAGAATTGTTCTTAAAAGAATCTACCTCCTGTGCATCAGGCACACTGAAGCTCCACCTTCTTTGTCATAAGGCTGTTCCCCTTAGCAACCAGTTTCCCTACCCTGAGGCTATACAGAGGCTCACAGTCAAGCATTATGTAGAGACTCCTAGCACAAAGATTCCAAGGGTGCCAGGCATGGTACTGCACACCTGTAATCCCTGCACCTGGAGGCTGATATAAGAGTATCATAGTTCTGAGGCTAGTCTGAGCTACAGTGTCTCAAAAATCTGAAAACAAGGGCTGTAGGCATGGCTCAAGTGTTACAGCATCTGCCTAGTAAGAACAAAGCTCTAACTTCAAACTCCAGTACAATACTGCCAAAAAATAAAATTCCAAGTGTTTCAGGAATATATATAATCATATAATCAGTGCATATAATCATACAAATTTATTATAAATTACAGTAACATACTAATGATGTGAATACAATTAACTGTTAGCTTTACAAAGTTTATACAATAGTTTCAGTTCAGAAATACTAATATTTTTCACAACATAATTACCTTTTTTTGTGGTGCTGGGATTGAACCCATGGCCTCATGTATGCTAGGCAAGCACTCCACCTCTGGGTTATCTTCAATTTAAATGGCAGTGGTCTGTGCCTTGCTTTTTCAGCTTCACTAACTTGGCGATCACACCCGAATAGTGTATAGTTCTTTTTACACTCCATTGCATGGGTACGTCAAGAGTTCATTCAATCATTCTGCTATGGATGGATGTGTAACGATTCCAAACAATGCTACAATGAATAGCCTTGCATATCTTTTTTTTTGTGTGTGTGTGTGATACTAGGGCTTGAACTTGGGGCCTTCCTCTTGAGCTACTCCACCAGCCCTATTTTGTGAAGGGTTTTTAATGAGATAGGGTCTCATGAACTATTTGCCTGGGCTGGCTTCAAACCACGATCCTCCTGATCTCTGCCTCCTGAGTAGCTAGGATTACAGGTGTGAGCCACTGGTGCCCAATGCATATCATCATTTGCTAAGTTGCTCTCCTTGGTACTGGTGTTCACTTTCGCCAGCAACAGCTGAGTGACTCTGTCCCAGTCTTTCTTGAAGTATCTTATCAAACAGGATTTTCTGTCCATGTGATGTGAGAAATGCTATCGCAGGGTACTTTATTCTTTGTAAAGCTGTATTAACTAAGGCTGGTTAAGAAGTCTATTTGACTGGTAAACTGTCCTATTTCAAAGATGCAGAGAATCCCCAGAGCAGGACCTGCAGCATGTGCGCAGGAACTAGTACCCAGGAGTCACAGTACTTGGCTCACATTGCGTCTGAACAGTGCGGAGTGGCAGAAAGGCACTGGCCTGGGCCAGGAGGTTCAGACTCCACTTGCAAGGTGGCCCCTTCCCCTCTCTGCACCACTGTGGAGTCACCAAAGGAGGGGTAGACAAGAGCCTTTCTCTATCCTGGGTGCTCAGGAGTCACCTGGGAAGCTTAACTGTTCTTTGAGCTCAGGGTGGTTTAAAGGTGCATTTTCTTACTAGGAGTAAGACTGATAATCTTTTGAGAACTATCTGCTCTTATCTCCTTGCCTATTCTTCTATAGGGTAGCTACTCTTTTTTTGAACTTTTGTAAGTACTTTTTATATTAGGAACATCAATCTTTTATAAGTGGCAAATATTTTTTCCCACTTTGTCACCTGTCTTTTTTTTGACTTTAAAAGCTTTGGTTTTAGGAAACCATTTTATGGAAGCAAGAGGTAAATGCTGGAGTAAACTCAGTCAAATAGCCATAAGTTACTTAGCTTTTCCTCAGTGTCATAAGCCCTTCTTTTCCCTGTTCATGTTTAATGAAGTCGAAGATCAACCCTTGTCTCTTATGGACATGTGTAGTTTTTCTATCTAGTGTCCCTCCCCCCACCCCACCCCCTTGTTCTGTGGTGCTGGGGATCAAACTCAGGGCTTGTGCATACTAGGCATGCTCTCACCTCTGAACTACATCGGCACCCCCTCCCCCTTACTGCCACAGGATTCTTCCTAGAGAAATCATCCTATGTGCACTGAGCAAAAACCTAATCCAAGTCCACCAATCAAAAAGGACAGGAACAGATTCTTAGAAAACCCTAAGAACCAAGCCCTTGCTAAGAACTTTCTGGTTAAGCTAGTGCACATGGGTTATATCCATCAGTCATCTGAAGGAAGTCTGTGAAAGAAAGGAGTCAAATCCATTTACAAAAGTCTGAATCCCTAGATCCAGCCAGTATATGGGAAGCAAAAGAAATCCTAACCCCTTCTATACATTCTGAAACATTTCCTCAGGTAGTTTGGCTTGCATTTCTGTCATTTGCAACCTCAAGGTTTGATATTTTTTTCATGCAAACTAAATTTGTTTTTTCCCAAATACCCTGAATGTGTTACCTCTTTAGGCCAAAACACTCTTCCTTCTTGGCAGTCTTCCAGATAATCACGAATGATGTTTGTTTTCTGCAGCAACAGGGCCACTGAATTGGCTAGCTCTGTATCTTCACCAACTATGGGGTCTTCAAACTCTGAGGCCGAGAACAGTTGAGAAAGGCCAATTCCCACCAGGCCAGCAACATAGTGACAGTACTGCAAAAGATTATTTTTTAAAGTCCTTTAATAATGAAAATTTCACTGAAATGTAAATGCCAAATATCATTAGCTTCAAAATAGCAGGTTCCAAACACAATATACAAGATCTCATTTTGATTATAAAACACAAATGTGTAAACATCTACAAGTCAGGACTGTTCTCTGAAAATTTAACACCGTGATCTCTCTGGCTGATGGGAATGTGGTGTTTAAGAACAAAATGCCACCACCAAGCTCTTCAGACTGTTGCGTATTCTGCATATTCAGCTCACACAAATGCAGCTGGGGTGTAGCTCAGCAGAATACAGCTTGTCTGGCATGTGCAAGGACCTGGGTTTAACCTCCAGCACTACAAAAAAAGTTTTTCACTCCACACAAACATCTTGTGAGGCACTGAGGCACAAAGAACTCGTTTAACTTGCCCAAGATCATGCACCTGGGAAGTCAGGAGCCAGGAAGGCAAAAGCAGGTGCCCGGAGACATTAAGAGTAAGGTTTTAACAACTTTGCTTAAAAACAAAGTCCTCTCTCATTACATTCTAACAAATGTAATTCTTAAATCTCTAAGTTTTGTTTCCCTAAAAGTTGAAGGAAAAAAAAATACTTAAAATACTCAATTTTAACTGCTCAGAACATATATTCAACAACCTATAATGAAGTTTCCTAACTAGATGTGCACTGCAGGAGGTACTATTAGACAATCAGTGCTGATACTCCAGCACCAATCACACATTTGTTGACTTAGCATAACTAACAGCTCCAATGAAACTCCCATCAAGTTTTTTGGTCTGGTTTCCCTTTGCAGGGCTGGGAATTGAATCCAGGACTTTGGAGCCATATTCCCAGGCCACTCCATTACATTTTGAAGTTTCAAAACTTAAAGGGTCAGAGTGTGGACTCACACTGGAGATCCTAACCTAAGCACCTAACTGTTACAGACACAAAATATATAAACTTCTTAGATATTTAAAATGTCTTTGCTTCCATGAGTGTGTTAAGTCTCACAAACACAGTTCCCGTGGAAAGCGGGTAAGCCACTCCACTCCTACCTTGTATACTCAGTCTGGTCCCACAGTCAATTATGTCCCTCTGTCTAGATGAGCACTCCATGGCAGCCCCCAACTCCTAACCTGGCCTACATCCCACACAGCTGCTGGCCAGGAACAAACTCTGGCCAACTGGCCATTCTAAGTTACATTTGCTGTATCATCTGTTCTCAGAGCCCTTTCAGCTGCTTCTGCCTCCTAGGCAACATGCACCTTTACCCATGGTCCACAGCTCAGCTCCCACATGTGTTCATCTGTAGTTGCTATGGTTTTTGAATGCACATGTGTTTGAAGCAATCCCCAGTCCAATAGTGCTAGTGGAAGGTCTTACAGCAGAGTTGTGTTTCAGAGCTCCATCCTCAGAAATGTATTAATGACAATTACTTTTACTTTTAAAGGGCTTTTGCCAGGCCCCAGTGGCTCACGCCTGTAATCCTAACTACTCAGTATATCAGGAGGATCAAGGTTCTAAGCCAGCCAGGGAAAACAGTTTGCAAGACCCTATCTCAAAAATATCCAACACAAAAAAGGGCTGGTGCGGTGGCTCACGTGGTAGAACACCTGCCTAGCAAATGTGAAGCACTGACTTCAAACCCCAGGACCACCACAAAATTAAATAAATCAATTGGCTTGAGGCTGGGAGTTCAATCTCTTGCTTCCTTGCCTCTTTGCCCTTTCTGCTACATGCAGACCCCCCTGGAACCTTCCCAGAAAGAAGGCATGAGGAAACTGGTAAGCCTCTCTAAGTGTTTTGTTTGTTTGTTGACCCTTGCAGTACTGGAGATGGAACCCAGAGCCTCACACATGCTAGGCAAGTGGTCTACCAGTGAGCTACATCCCCCAACCTCCAAAAGTCTTATTTCTGTAAGAAGATGATGAGAAAGGAAGAAATAAGGTATTAGAAAGATGCTCACCCCTCAGCATAATATGCCTACAATCAGAAGTTAATACCTTTGCATTCCTACAAGCTATTTTTTTGTTTCTAAGGAAACACACATAACACCTTAACTAACAGGTATATCTCAAATGAATGTACTAATAAGTTTAAGTCATCATATGTTAGGATAGGATTAGAAATGATTCAAGACACCAAAGCATGGACACATACACAAATATTCCTAATAGAAAAGAAGAAAATAACAAAAAATATAGTTTTTAGAATTTAAAAACTACTGACATTTCTATACTACATGAAATAATCTGGCCATTTACCTGCAATTTCACAGCAAGTCAGCAACAATTTCTTAAATTCAGTGCCTGTACCGTTGAGACAAGTTAAATCTACTTTAAAAGTGAGCTCTCTAGGGCATGGATAATTTCACTTACAGAGTATTAAGCTTTAAGCCCCTATTAAGTGTTTATGAGGAGACATTCGACCTATCCAGATGAGTGGTAAAACCAGAAAACCTAGAACTGGTAGACAGCTTTATCCTCATTTTGCATTTCACCAAGGGTACTGCCGACTCTGTCTTAGGTACTACTCAGGGACCCTATTTGACAGAGACACTGACCTTGTCCCAATCCTGTTTGGAGATCATATCATTTACTAAAAATTCTGCCATACCAAATCCCATTTTCTGGCAAATGTTAGCAATCACTGTTTGATATTTCTCAGCCAGATTTCTAAATTCCAGGGAGATCTGAAATAGAGACAGTAAAAAAACAGAACACATAAAATTATATACTTACATAGTACCAAACAGAAATTTATACTCTTGTAGAGTTCAGACTCCAGTGAGATCAGTCAACTCCAATCATCACTTCCCCAATTCATATTGTGAAGCTATACTATCTCCCTCGCTCTAAAGCCATTACCTTTAAATTCTTAAACAACTCAATTCAACATCAGGCCTGCTGCCCAATATTTTTCCTTCAAGCACAAGCTCAACATGAGAAAGTAGTATTGATGATTTTTAAAATTTATTATTACTGCACAAATATTCAAAGTTCAAAGAAGTGTTCACAGGTTATCAAACTCCAACATGAAAACACCATGAAACTTTTTTTTTCTTTCGAGATGAGGTCTTGCTACATTGCCCAGGCTGGCCTCAAACTCATGACTTTCCTATCTCAGCCTCATGAGTCACTTGGATTTCAGGCTTGCGCCACAGCAGCTGTTTCCTCCATGAAACTTCTTAAGTGAAATACTATGAGACAACCAAGCTAACAGACAATACCTGCAACCAATTACCACCACAAGTACGAATTCGCCTGGTCTGTTCTGTGTTTACAGAAAAATTAGAAGTAACTTCTCAGGAAACACCTACATCTAAGGGCCTGAGGGCTGTGCCAACTGACACAAAATGCCACAGCAAATCAGAAGCTTGAAATAATGTTGGACTTCAATGAACAACAACTGTGAAGTCCCCCAGACCCACAAAAATCAATCTAGCCTTTCCAGATCTCTGTTCTTTCCAGAACAGCTGCTCCAAGTCAAAGCCAAAAACTAATTTCTAAGGTAGACTGAAACAAAATAGCAACTCTATCCAGACAGGAATCCCTGAATCTCCCTAGGACTCTGCTGCTTCCACAGCTTTAGCTCCTCAGCGAGACAAGTTCTATTTATAAGAGGACAGGCCAATGAGGGCAGGTGGAGCAGCGTAGTCTCCTAAAACAAACACTCCAAAATAAACACTTCTACTTCTGAATTTGACCTATCCTCTTCAACAACCTTTTGGAACTTATTGCAAAAGAATGTAATCCAAAAGGAGCTGGGTGCTGGTGGTTCACGCCTGCAATCCTAGCTACTCAGAAGGCAGAGATCAGCAGGATCTATCTATCAGGAAAAAAAATCCATTACAAAAAAGGGCTAGTGGAGTGGCTCAAGGTATAGGCCCTGAGTATAATCCCCAGTACTACCACCAAAAAAAAAAAAAAAAAAAAA